AAATATTACAACTGCCATACTGCCATACAATACAATCACTGGATGCGGCTCCCGTTCTGATGGAGGAGGCTTGTTGGATAGCGTAAGTTAAAGTGTTTATTGTGTTGTACCTTTTGACTATAGTTTTAAGATATATTGTATAGTGAAGAAGAATCCTTGGCTCTGTAAAGTTAATTCGATTGAGCCTTATCAAATAAATTTATTAACAACAAGCAAAACAACTCTAACCGTCGTCTCCTTGATCTGTGCTTTGTCAGCCAAGATCTGAATCAGGACATTACTGTATCTGAAGCTCCTGGTCCACTTGTTAAGGAATGCCAGCATCATCACTTGTTCCTAAATGAATGCATTCCTTATGAATTCACCTCTATCACTGAAATTATCAGTTATAACTTCTGGAAAACGGACTTCATCAAAATTAACCTGTTTTTGTCTGGGATGACATGTTGCACATATTGACCGCTGAAACTACCGTCCATCACTAGAAACCATCACTTCACTGTCACCTCACCTCACACGCCGCGCAGAATAGGCCTATTTGTCTGCAGTATGTCGGAATATTGTTCACTTTACTTTAACACTTTTAGTAAGTTAACTACCAGAGGAGAACAAAAAGTTCACTTTTCCCATAGTTATATTCCCAGATAAACTTCAAAGAAGCCACTGCAGTATGAGATCGTAACCAAATAAGCTCAAATTTTAAGAGAAGAGTTCAGGGATCAATTGAGCTGGGTAGATCTAAATCAATAATTTCAAACCAGCCACATTGCTTGAGTATCATGCAACTTCAACCTTTGATAATCTACTTAGCTAAAAATATAAACAGCTAGTACAATAACACAGTAAACCGCATACGAAAAAGACAGACTAAAAAGATACAGATTCTGTCGTTTCCAGCGGTAGGTATTTGCTGAAAATGCAGCGGCTTTGTTGGCAATGGCTGCGTAGATGCGGTACCGGAAAGGGAGAGTGAAGGCTTCGACACAGCTGGCATCGGCTGGCGTCGAGGGTAGGAGACCGGAGATGATGCGCGTGTAGCTATTGTACACCGGAGCAAGTATTTGTATTGTCTTGTCGGTGGCGATGCAGGTCAGTTCGAGTCCATACATCAGCTGGCTGTCTACCATGGCCCGGGCAACACGGAAACGTACTTCGCTGTTGTTGGACCGGTGCGGACGGGAGATTGTGCGGATCCTGCTGCGACAGCTAGCCTTGACCCCTTGAAGGTGGTGGTCAAAACTCAACGACCGGTCAATGACAACCCCCAACAGTTTCACAGTTTTCTCCAATGGGATGGCTTGATTACCGATCTTTATGGAAGGTCCGCAGACCCAATGTCGGTACTGGCTAACGTGACACCTAGCGCTCTTTCTAGCAGACAGCTGAAAGCCTTTCCCAGCGGTCCATCTGGCTACGGTGGAAACCCCTGCTTGGGCTTTAATCCTCGTTCGCCCCGGAGTGATCTGTGGCTACGATTAGCACGTCGTTTGCTCAACCGTAACCGCTCAAAGACACTGTTCATGGCTGCCAGGAACAAGGTGACAACGATCACTGAACCTTGCGGAACGCCAGTTTCCTCGCAGAAAGTGCGGGATTTGGTATAACCTACCGAGACTCGGAAGGATCTGCCAGTCATTAAATTTTGGGCGAAATGGATGATGGCCGCTAAGGTCACAGCTGACGAGTTGCTTCAGTACCGTGGGCGTCCATGTACGGTTAAAGGCTTTCACAATGTCCAGGGAAACCATCTCCGTATGGAGACCGTTATCCTTGGCATCTTTGAGGAGCTCTCCTAGCGTCGCAAAATACGTGGATGTACCGTGGCCTTGCCGAAATGCGTGTTGGTGATGGTCTAGAAGGCCGTCAGACTCGAGAAACTGCCTCAGGCGTCGGTTTACCATCCGCTCGAACACCTTTACCACAGACAAACAGACATAGAACTCGCAAATTGTTCATGGAACAAGCATTTAACGGTCAATTTAAAAGTATCGTAGTTGGTGGTACCACCACCTGTAGCGCACATAGTAAATTCCCTTGCATTTGACGTTTACACACTACTGCCATCTGTTCAGCGTACTACCCACCACAGTGTACTCAACAGATGACGATAATGTTTTAGCGACGATGTTTTACAATGAGAAATATTCAATGTGTTATGTCTGTTTGTCTGTACCTTTACCATGCAGCAGGCATAGAGGTAACTCTAAGACCAAAGATGAATACTAAGATGAAACTGTCGGAAGAAAAACTTTCTATTTTAGTGTCTTCTTTCACGGTCCCTTTCATCCAATGAGAACCCCCCGTATTCAAGGTAATTTTGTGGTTTTGCTGCCCCCTCGGAAGAGATGAAATTTTGCGCTCATTTTTATCAAAACAATCACACCAAAATCAGAGGTGTCCCATTTTTTAATTACTCAATTAACAACTAATCGATTATTTTTTGTTCGCTGTGCTGCCATTTTTCCACCAATGAGAGTGCAGCACATGTTTGAAACGATCGGTGATGATCCTGTGGAGATGTTAATGCTTATATCGGCATGATCTAACCGATTATAAATAGTTTACTTTTCGGTTCGTTAATCGATTAAACGATTATTCGAATGAAAATCGGACATCACTAGATGAATGTGAAACGTCATTTCAAATATAAGGCCGTTCATAAATAATGATACAATTTGAAAGGGACCGGGACTAATCACAAATTACGTCTCCATGGTAACTGAAATAAACACGAGTGTTCACCGGTTGCTAAGACCAGAAGGTACCGAAGAAACGTGCTCCATTTTTTGGCTCAGCTCTGGTACTATCTTCGGTCCCAAGCTAATCGATGCACCCCTCGAAACATAGAAAAATCCACGAACCCCTCATTTTATCTGTCAAACTTTCATAGCGAATCAAAACAAACATAGTGTAGTACTAGAATTTCGACCAGAATGGGATACGTTAATCGATTTGCTTGGGACCAATAGGCTAGTCAAGTAGTGAGTCAATTTAAAATCGTTAGTTTTCACCGGTTGCAGCAGGTGAGCGCAATGGGTCGGAACTTCGCCACGTACCGTGTCAGCTCGTTTGCTTTGGGGATGGGGACAACCAAGCTCTCCCTCCAATGCTCTGTATACGAGTATGTATGCCAAAGTTGGTTGAAGGGTTCCAGCATTTTTACTTTACCCGGAGTAGGTAGGTTCTTGAGCAACGGGTAGCCGATCTCGTCTGGGCTGGCTGATTTCCCGTTGCTTCTACTAAGCGCGAACTGAAAGCTCCTGCCAGGTGAAATCGTGGTTGATCCTCAGGTTGTTCGTGTCCGGAGAAACTCGACAACTGCTTACGGACGAAGTCGATGGGTTTGCTAGCCGTTGAAAGGTCGCCTCGTACTTGGAAATCGCAGAAAGGTCAGCGAAGTAGTCGCCAAGCTTATCTGCAACGATTGCGGGGTCGGAAACTACAGCGCCATCTACCTGTATATGCAGTGTGGCCGTACGGCGCTTGTCACTGAGGGCGTTAACCCTACCCCAGAGCTCCGCCGAAGACTGTGAGGCATTTTTACTTTCGAGGAAGTCCGTCCAACTTGACCGTTTGGCATTTCGGACCAATTGGCGACACTGCTTGTGCCGTTCTCGATAGGTACAGAGCGCGTTTTCCCTATCCGGGTCATCGATGGGCAGCCGTTTGACTTGTCGAAGGGCTTTTCAAAGGGCCTTTCAAACCAATTTCTGTTCTCATTGATTAGTACTTTTAACTTAATTTTGAAGCATAACCAAAACAGTTAGTTTTACTTCAATACTCGGTTTTCAGTTGTTTTGTTTTTCGGGCTCTAAAAGTATCCAAAATGAAATTTTGTCATTGTACTTCAGTTTGGATAAAAAATCGCAAAGTTCGCCATATTTAATTCGGTTTTGTCATCTGCAAAATTTTGCTCGATCATAAATAGTTCAAAGGGATTAAATTTGTGACATTTATGTTTAATGCTGCGAAGAGGAGAAAGGTAAGTTCTAAACGGTTCTATTAAACAGTCTGTGATAGATTTCTCGGAAAGTGTTAGAAATTAACCTAAATTACTTCTTAGGCCTTCGTGCGCCTCCACTAGCTACCGATGACTCCACAGTTAGTGAGATAACCATAAACCAGCATCCGAAAGTAGTGGATAAATGAAGGTAATGACCTTTTGTTTTTCGATCCTGTTTAGCAGGTTCACTATTTTTACTCTGTTTTTGAAATTATTCCAAAATAACAGAACAATTAGGCTGAGGTTGATGGGTCTGGTACTTTTTCCTCGAGTACACCAGCCGAAATCAAGGAAGCCGAGAGTGGACTCAATGAAAAGGAGTTTGCTTGGAACTTTACCTGTTAGACCGTTGAATAGTAAATCCAACACGATGGATCTGGTAGTTTGTGTTTTACTGCTCTTTCAGGTGCCAAATATGGATTGATTTTATTATTATAAGCTCGATTATGAAGATAAATAAAACCAAACATAAAACTTATTTTTAGGGCTCAAAATAAATATGAAAAACAATAGAGAAATCCCCTTTTCGGCTAATTGCTATAACGAAAAAAAAAGCGATTTTGAGTAGTTCCTACCCAACATTCACTCTTCCTAAAACCGTTACATTCTCCTCCAAACGAAGTCTTTGCAAAATACTCAAATTTGGATTCTTCGCACAGAACTCGGCTATTTCGTTTCTCCGTGTACCATTTTACGAGACGTTTCTAGCCAGCTGATTGTTCTATTCGACTCGAACAACATGACTTCTGTCATTTAATTAAAACGGTCTATTCCTTTTATAAATTTCCACCAGAGTCCACCACCGTCGTTGTCGTCGCCTTGGAAGCAACTGCAACAGAGTCGAACTCAGCGCCTACTATGCGGGAGCACATTTCACGCACACTTCACCCTCACCCTGCCCATTCGAGTGAGTTCGAGTTCTCCCCCGTAAGTGTAGAGTGTTGTTAAGGGTACTGTCCCGTCACTCACTCGAAAAAGTCAATGTAATCTTAAGAATAGCAAACTCAACAGCTTCATTCGTGCTATCGCTGCAGAATTCGAATGGTCCTGGATTACTTTGGCTATTGGCTAAGTAGAATTAGTGTGTAGTGTGTAGTGCAAGCCGCGGGCTACTGAAATTTGGTAAAATCCACCGGAAACGCCCCCGATTTGGGCCGGATCGGGGCGTTTTTCTCCGGTCAACTTATCGCTGGAGGATCGTCTTTTTTTTTTTTTGTTGGAAATGTCGTCCGTCTTGTTGAAAAATTTTACTGCGCGAGTGTGTCTGCCTGCAGTATTCGGAAGTGTGCGTGAGCGGACCACCACTGTGAGTGTGTGTGAGTGCGAAACGAAGGCGTACGGATAGGGAAAATGTGGAGTGGTGTTTGCGATTTTTTTTTTCGATTCAGTTTCTCTTGGTAGCAGCAAGTAGACAGAGCAAGCTGTGTGCGGTTGTGGGGGTGGCCCGCTGCCTGGAAGGGAAGCCGAACGAGATTCAATTAAAGCATCATTTGATAATGGATGACACTTTTTTTTCCATTTCGGTGTGTTCGTGATTCGTGTGTCGTGCGAGACAGGTTTTTTTTTCGGACTAATGGTTGCAGAATGAAATCACAAATTAGTGCGATCGGACGGAACAGTTATTCACGGGAGAAGAAAAGACCCGAGCACGGCTGCCCTTTAACAAAGTTCCAATTAGAATGTGTAAGTTTGCGTGCTTTTCGATTCCAATCCGTGTGAAATCAAGTGCATGTGAAACAACAGAAGACCGAGAGAACCTGGTGCAGAAAGGCAGCTGCACCTTTTGAGTGGACGGACTTTTTTTTTTCTTGTGTTTCTTTCCGTCGTCATCTTGATTTTTTCGCTCCCTCATTATCATAAAAAGAGTCTCGTCCCACGATAAAGGAACAAAAAAAAAACGAGGCTGCTGTTGGTCGCTGCTGCTGCTGCTGCTGCTGTAGTTGTTGGTTAGGGCTCTTTTCCGAGATTTCAAGAGGGGCTCCCCAACCCAATAACTGACACTGACTGGAGCGAAGCAGGCGACGACGAGGCACGGACGGTGCGCTTGCTAATTAGGGTGGTTCACGGGTGGCTACTTTGATGTGTGGTGGTTATTTTACCTTGAAATGGTATAATTATATGTTTGTCACAAGTGGCGCTGTGGCGATGAAGCTGAAATTGTCAATATTATCTGCTGGGGGTAAGCAAGATGGAGACGAACAACAGTGGTACCGTTTGGTGGACGCAAATATCGTGTTAATGTGACATAATGTTGCGAAAAACTAAATGTGGTAGAACGCATTTTGTACGTTGCAAAATTTGTGCTTGCATTAAATTACCATTAGTGGGAACCGTTATGAAGTGCTTGATTGATTTGATTTCTTTATATGTTTGCCAATTAGTAAGGGTGGTCAATGCCTGTGAAAAAGCATTGATTAGTTTATTTTTGAGAATTGAAAAAAAATGTATCACGTCAGAAGTTGGCTGGGTGATTTCTTATTGTTTTAAACTAGACAAAATAAACAAAAGTACGATGAAATCGTAAGGCTTGCCATACTGAATTTGGTGAAATTAGTCCACAAATGATTTGGAACACACCGTTAAGATTCAATGCTATGCGGAGCATTTTTCAACTTTGACGTTTGTTCTACAAAGAACATAGGATCAATATGACTTCAATTGCTTCGATTCGTTACACAGTACTTTAATACGGTTTTTGATACGCGAAGAGAGTGAACACTAGGGTGGGTCAAGTTTGTAAGGTGGATCACAATCCCCTGTTCCCCACTGCTCTTCCGATGTATGTAGAGGTCCGTAACAACGGTGTCAAATTTGAACGAATTTGATTATGATTTGGATTTGCGGTAGAATTTTAAATTTTGTATGGGAAAATATATGGGCAACGCAACGAACATATTAATTTGAGTGCCAAAAATTCAAATATTGCTCAAATTTCACGGAAATAGATTGGAAATACCATGTAGAACAACTTTGTCCAAGACAGCAAATCGATTGGACTTCTGAGAAAAAAGTTATTATATCAATTTAGATCTATTGCTCCGTGCATACCGCCAGGCGTGTTACATATATGAGCTGTGTGGAACACAGATAGAGCTGGAATTAGGGCGTAACGGCTTTTGTAAACAATTACTTCTTTCGATAATTTCTAGAAAGTTAAGGCTCGCCAACGCATATCAACATCATCATCGGGCAGGGGAAGACTTACCCTACACGACGGTTATGTTGGTTTACGTGGGAGTGCCTTAAGTTCCTAGAAATTATCGAGAGAAATCATTGTTTACAAAAGCTGTTACGCCCTAATACCAACAATCAATACGAAACTATCGATTTTAAATTGGCTCACTACTTGACTAGCCTATTGGTCCCAAGCAAATCGATTAACGTACCCTATTCTAGTTGAAATTCTATTACTACACTATGTTTGTTTTGATTCGCTATGAAAGTTTGACAGATAACATCAGGGGTGTGTGGATTCATGCAGAACATGCAGGGGTGAGTGAAATAGCTTGGGACTGCTTGGGACCGTTGTTCTGGTACTGAGTGAGCCAAAAATAATAATGATTTTCTTCGGGACCCAGTGGTCTTAGAGTTACCTCTATGCTATTACCAACAATCAATACGAAACTAACGATTTTAAATTGGCTCACTACTTGAGTAGCCTATTGGTCCCAAGCAAACCGTTTAACGTACCCTATTCTAGTCAAAATTCTAGTACTACACAATGTTTGTTTTGATTCGCTATGAAAGTTTGACAGATACAATGAGGGGTTATTGGATTTTGCTATGTTTCGAGGGGTGAATCGTTTAGCTTGGGACCGAAGATAGTACCAGAGCTGAGCCAAAAAGTTGAGCACATTTCTTCGGGACCTTCTAGTCTTAGAGTTACCTCTATGCTAATACCAGCTCTATCTAGACTTGTTCTAAAGTGAAAGTAACTTTTGTACAAAGATCAAACCGATTTGCAGTCTTCGACAAAGTCGTTTTGTATAGTATTCTCAATCTTAGTCCGAGGTTTAGAGATATTTGAGTAATATTTGGCATTTTGGTAAGCAAAGGAATAGGATCGTTATCCAAGTAACAATTTTGGTTTTATAAGGGTTCTATAGATCATGAATTGGACTTGTAGAACGCTTTAAAACCTTGATAAAACTTGCAATGCTACCGTTTCCCTTAGAAAATTTAAAATCCTTCCCCAAGTCGAGATTATAACCAAATTCGTTCAAATTTTGAACGGTTGTCGGGAACCTCAATACGTATTAAAAGGGCAGGGGATCACAGGGAGTTGAAAAGATGACCCACCCTAGTGAACAACCCTACTCAACTAGCTGGATTTTTATTTGTCGTATTGATGTATTTTTTTGCTACTTCAATAGAACCTTAACAGTTTGAAAAAGTTGTGAAAATTTATATTAATATGATGCATATAAATAGAGCGAGTTTACATTCAAGATCGTGTAAAGTTATGAGATTTGTAAGCAACATTTCATGCAAGCTGATATGACATCTTTAATAAAATTCATTTTTTTCTGTGTTGGGTCTGCCCTACATCTCCTGTTCCACATCTCGATATTTCCATATTACAGTTAAATTACTCCTGAATAAGTCAGCTATTTTTTAGCTTTTATGGAAAAGATGCTCAGAAGCTGATACACGTGATCAACAAGACATGAAAATGAGCATTTGATCCCACAAATTCCATTCGGTAGACGGACGTATTAACTAATATCGCAAACATATCAAGGAGACTAGCAACTCTTCCATTTTCTCACGCAACCGATAGGAGACAGGCACAATCGCGTCATCTGCTGCTTAAAGGTAAATGCTCCTATGTAATTGGATAGCAAAGGTTCCATCCTCAGCAGGGTTATCAGTCGATAACCATCCGTTTGGGTTCTATCCTTCCCAGGTTTGGGAATGGGAATAACCAACCCTTCTTTCCACTCGTCCGGTATCTGGCCAGAAAGCCAGAATTCGTTCATTGTGCCAAGAAGAGCCAATCGGCCGACAAGAGGTAATCTCCTAAGCATGGGATACCCAATGTCGTCAGGGCCCACCGCCTTACCAATGCCGCGGCACAGGGCCCAGTTGAGCTCTTCAAGTTCGAACACCCTGTTATAGTGTCTTTAACAAGACTACACTGCCTGTCACGGGAGTAGCGGTACTCCCCCTCAACCAATGACTTTAGGAACTCATCACTGTGATTGCTGTTTGCTGACACCTTGGCAAATTGATCAGCAAAGGCCTCACTCATAAGCCCTGGGTCTTTCGTGTAATTGCTATTCAACTTAATCACCCTCTTACCACCGACAGAATTGAGATGCTGCATGTTTCTAATTTTATACAAAATTTATTTTTGATTCAAATCCAGCTTGGATCGTGTATAAAGATTAGGTCTACCTGTCTTCTGTCAAATGTCAGATTAGGTAGAAGCTGATTCCAACCCGGATAAAAAAACAAATACTCTATTAGGGTGTAGACAGGCCACAGTGGGCCGAAAGTCAATTTGCACGACTAACATAATACCTCTTAAACGAAGCATTTCCGAGGCTTGGTACCTCCGAAGAAGTTTCTCGCTATAACCTATAAACTATCTATTGGCGTTATTCGGTAGTTCGCAACTCATCCGCATAGATGGCACAAAATTTAATTTTTCGAACATTCCAAAAACGGGGTTTTTTCTTATTGAGGTGTGTAAACGATATTTTAGAAAGGTAGTTTCTTCAGAGAATTTGGTGGAATTTTCATAAGCTTTCTTCTGACGTTAGTAAAACAATAACCTAACCACCTAGAAGGGCACTGGAAACATTAATTTTCTAAAAATGCTTAAAAGTGATTAGTATCTTCAACAAAGTTGTGGATAATGCAAATTCTAGCAACTTTGCTGAAGACACCAACTTCGGGTACTGATTTTGCCCATTTCCATATATTTTTGATGAAAATGACCTATGTCTCTGATAAAAGTTAAATAATTTTAATAATAATAACCTTTCTAGAACAAATTTTAAAAAAATCCAACAAAAATCGATTTTTGAAGTGGTTTAAATAAAAATATATAATTAACACTTCATGTAATACGATACATGAAATTGGTGGCTTAAGCAAAGTTGAGAAAATGTGCATTATCTACAAGTTTGCAGAAGAGACAAACCACTTTAGAGCATGTGTAGAAAATTTAATACTTCCAGTGCTCTTCTAAGTGGATAGATCATTGGTCTACTAGCTTCAAAATAAAGCTTATTTTGACTCAACCAACATCTCTCAAGAAACAATCTTTCTAAAATAACCTTTACGCACAACATAACAAAACGCATGTTTTATTGAGCAGTGTAGAAATCCCAACCATCCTACATTAAGGGCTGAACACAATGATAGCGGCATAGCGGCAAGATCTTCAAGACGTGAACCAAATAATCATCCAAGGTCGTAGTATGTAATCAGAACCATGCAACCGGACATATTTCGGGTACCCCCGGGGAACTGGTCAGATTCTTATTGAACCAACACCTACATGCGACACATCAAATTATATGATAATTCAAAATATGATCATTGGTGGCCATATTAAGTACTGAAGACCACGTTGGCCAGATCCGAACATGTTCCGGATACCCCTGGAGAAGTGAAACTTGAACCTACATCCTCATGTGAAACACCAAACTATATGAGAATTCAAAAATAAGAAC